GTTCACTTCCTATGGGATGGTCTATTCCTTTAACGATGTCTTTGTTTTCATGGCACAGTTGGTGGCAACATGCAGCGAACCTTGCAGGTTATGAACAGCAGGATGCACATGAATTTTTCATCTCCATGCTGGATGGGTTATGTGAAAAGGTGGAGAGGGATCGGCGGAAGCCTCATAGCCAAGGTAATGTTCTGACAGTGACGCCTATTTCTACTCCTTCTCTTGCCTTCTGTGACTAAACTGTCTGTCAATCAAATTATACTTGTGTGGGGTAATTCTAATTTTTAACCTAAACAAATACTAGAAGACAAAAAGGAAAAAAGTTGGAAAGAAAGATAAATCTAGGGAGCTTATTGGAATTTCTCATTGTCCTTAGAGCGGGCTTGTTTTGCTTTCTACGGGTAAATGTGAAAATACAATCAACTTGTCCCGGCCTTTCCTTGTGTGAAAATTGGATGTTTATCTGGTCCCGCTGATATATATATGTGTGTGTGTGTACAAATATGTAAGACGTGTTTGTTTCTGTGGATTCTGATTGTGGCATTTAAGCTGTTGTGGAGTCGCCCCCTTTTCTGTGCAGCCCTTTACAATACTTTCAAATTATTGAGGTTAGTGAATGCCAATGCCATCATATTAGAAAATGAAAATATGGGATTGTGGGATGATGTGCTTACTTTTCTTTTTTATATCTTCAATAATGATGTGGTTAGTCCGTAATTTAGTGGAATTCTTGATGACCAAAATTTACCTTTGGCCTAGCGGAATAATAAGATGCTGATATCTATTGTATTAGTTCTTAAATGTTAGCAATGGGCGGCCAAGTACGCAAATCTGTAGGTGGTATAAGATGGTAATCTGTTGTCATTGCCACCACGTGACGAGTCAATGCATAAATGATAGCTGCTACTGCCCAGCTAATACAAAGTTATCAAAGGAGTGTCACTGTCCTGATGACTTCCATGCCTTTAATATTGCTTTGCATTTAAGATAATTCAAAGTACTATTTAAGATAACAAAATTGCCTCAACATTTAACTGCAGGGTATGGGTTTAGGTCTCTTGCTTGTTGCTCTAGGAGTTGACCATTGCTCAAAAAATTAGGGCTAATTATCAACCTCAACCTGCTGGCTTGATGGTGTTAGCTGCTACACACCAGTGAGTCCCTGTAAGTCAACATCTCTCTAGCATGGTTTCTTCAAATAGGATGTTTAGCTGAAATGATGCTCCTGTTAACTCGATCTCTTGCCATTTTTAGGATTATAATTAAACAAGGCTTATCCTAGCTTGGAGGAAAACTTGCATTAGGTTCCCATACATTACTTTGTGTTGGAATCGATATGAGCTCTCTCCCACCTGGTTAAGATTTTGGAGGATATTGATATAGTTCTTTTCGCTTGGGAGTTTGTTAGATGCTCCTGAAAGTCTAAAACTCCCCTTTTCATAAGTTGTTCACCTTGCTCCATTGTGGCCTGTTCTAATCTCACTTGAAAGCGGTGATTGGAAGCACATAAATTGAGGCAGATATATACGAGTTCTCTATGAATTTTGCTTTCTTGGACTGACCTTGAATTTTGGAGTGGTCCAAGAAGATAATAATGGAACATTTGCTAAATTGGCTCATGCAAAGTTCTCTACCTCTCAATTTCAAAAGGCTTTAATAGATAATATGTAACTGTTATTTGAACCAATGGTAAATGTAGACGCGAGTGAATGTCTTTGTACACATTGAAAGTCATTGAGACATACTTAAATGATAATGAAATATTAGATTAGGAGTCGAGTTCATCAAGCCAGGGTGTTAGATTATTTTGTACGCTGCCTCATTTATCCTTCCCATGCTTCATTTTAAAGGACATTTAATTGCAAAGATAGCATGAATAATTCATTTTTGGTGCGTTTCTGTGGATCAAGTCATAATCTTACACCAAAACTGGTTTTGCAATTGATCATCATCTGTTGAATATTTTGAATGCAACAGCTGAAAGGTAAAACAACGTTGGTACATGAGCTTTTAAAATGATGCCATTTGATTCCATTGCAACATTTACATGACCCTATCTTCTTGATGGCACAGGCATTGGAGACTGTTGCATTGCTCATAGGGTGTTTTCTGGTATATTGCGATCTGATGTTATGTGCATGGCCTGTGGTTTCACTTCTACAACTTATGACCCTTGCGTTGACATCTCACTGGATTTGGAACCAAATCAAGGCGGTTCTGCCAAGATGACTACCACAACATCAAAAGATTCTTGCAATGGTGAGTCAGATTGCATGAAACCAGGTCAAACCTGTGGGACATCAACTCTGAGGGGTTGCTTGGAGCAATTTACAAGAGCTGAGAGGCTGGGGTCCGACCAAAAGTTTTTCTGTCAACAGTGTCAAGTGAGGCAGGAATCTCTCAAGCAAATGTCCATAAGAAAGCTTCCTTTAGTTTCATGCTTCCACATAAAAAGATTTGAGCATTCTTCAACAAGAAAGATGTCAAGGAAGGTGGACCGCTATCTGCAATTTCCCTTGTCACTTGACATGTCACCCTACCTTTCCTCTTCAATCTTAAGGAGCCGTTTTGGGAACAGAATCTTTCCTTTTGATGATGATGAGCAGCCTGATGCTACAAGTGAATTGGCATCAGAGTTTGAGTTGTTTGCCGTTGTCACTCACTCAGGTAAGCTAGATGCTGGCCACTATGTGACTTATTTGCGGTTAGGCAATCAATGGTACAAGTGCGATGATGCATGGGTCACTCAGGTTGATGAGAACATTGTTAGGGCTGCCCAGGGCTACATGATGTTCTATGTACAGAAGATGCTTTACTACAAAGCAACTGAGAAACAAGGCGCTTCATGATGTTTTGTGGTCCAGAAGATAGTCCTCCAAATTAGTGGGTGTCACGGATAACATGATTTTTTTCACATTTGTGACATGCCAATGCTATATTCATATATACCTTGAGATTGAAAAAGGAAAAAAGGAAAGAGAAAAGAAGACAGTTTTCTGGAATCACAAATAAGCAAGCCAGAATTTTTTAGGCAAGCCAGAATTTTTTAGGCACTCCAACTGTTTGGAAACCATATTTAGGAGTATGGTATTGTCAGAAGCAAGTTTCTGATTTCTTCTTTGTTGCCTTCTGGTCTTTTTCTCCTACTGTTCTTCTTCCCTTTAGTTGTTTTTTATCCCCCTTTTTTGTTACTGTTCATCTCATCTCATCCTTATTTTTTTTTTTAGCTGCTAGTTTCATTCTTTTTCCTTTGGATGCATTGAAAACCATAGTGGTCCGTCCAGGGTCCTGGGGTCTGGCTTTGCCTGGTTTTTCACTGTACTTCCTTTTTGTGACCAAAGTTAACTCCTGCAACAAAGGAGTTTTTTCTTCAACTTATTCATAACAGAGACGTTTTTCTTTCTTTTGTCAGTTTTGTGGTTACATATTATTATTTGGCACATTTGAAATCAGAAGTAGCAACTTGCAATCTCGTTATGCATTTTCAACCTATAAGGAGTGTCTTTCGATTGTCAGCCTTGTTTAGTAGACTAGTTTAAGTCGGTCCGTCCTGATTTTGCTTTAAGGGGGGTTGGGGATCATAAAATGGTACCCAAAAATGTAAATTTTGATAAAATCAGAAGTTGCAATCTCGTTGACTTAGCATGAATCAGGAAATGAGGAATCTACCCGACAATTGGAGGAAATACTTTGTTTACTACAACAACAATGACAAGTTGGTGCGAATTTATTTTGGCAGCGTGTAGGGATAGTAAGTCGAGATATGTTGGGTGTGAATAGAGATACGTTGGGTATACTCTTTTCATGTGTGGAGAAAGACCCAATACAAGTTTGATCTTTCTAAATGAAATTGGCTACATGAATCGCAGCAGAATTATTGTGATTAAGGCGTAAATTTATTTGGAAAGTTTTTACTCAAAGTGATAGGTACTTGGAAATGCTTTTAGATTTAATATTGTTTTGAAAATTTAAAAATATTAACGGTCAATGTTAAGTTTTTAATAATAAAAGAAAAAAGTGTCACAATTTTGAACCTTCAAAGTAATATTGAAGTTTTAAATTTTTTTTTTTGGGTGTTTGATGCTCTTAAGTGAAAATTCAGGACAAATTTGTCCTTTAATCCTCCATGAACATGGACTTTGTCTACTATTGTCATTCTTAATTTTTTTTTGGTCTGGATATAATTCATTATTTTTTTGCTTATGTTTTTGTCGATGTTTTGTTATGGGGTCAAAATTAGTGGAATGCTAGGGAGGATGTTATTGTACTATCAAATTTGCTCAATGGACTTCGCTCAAATGGTAAAAGTATGTCCTCGTGACATTCTTCAAATTCACATTTGTCAGAATCCAAATTCATCCTTGTTACTTGTTTGTGAAATTCTAGAACCCAAATTTGATGATAAAGTGAAAGCAGCTGGGCCCAACAATTTTTATGAACAACATATCAGAGAGATCTAAATCTTCTATTGTTGTCCTAAAGCAAGATTTCTTCTGAGTCAGATTTGGTGATTTGGATGGTACAAATTAATGAAATCACAATCGACACATATAACGAGAGAGCACAACAAACACTCACACAAAGGTTAATTTGGTCTTTCTCTTAACTTGGATTTTCTTCACGGAAATATGTGAAGAAGTCCATATCAAACAAATATGAAAAATGAAATGAATAAAAATCCGTTATTCCAATTGCATTTCTATCAAATTTGAAGATAAACAAAAGGAAGAATTACAATGAGACTTCTAAGAAGGGAAAAAAAAATTATAAAATAAGTTTTAGAGATTATCATTCTCTATTCTAGAACTTGTTATTACAAGCTGATCAGGTTGTTATGAGGATTCTTTTAATAATTATTTTTTTCTTAAGATTTGATTGTAATTCTCTCTAAACAAAATTAAAATGAACCAGAGGAAAAAAGTTATGGGCGCTGTCATTTAAAATAATCTTTATAAATTTCGGGCCAAAAAAAAATGTTTATAAAACACCACCGAGCCCAACTACAACTCCACATCTTGGCTTCCAATGCTTGGCTCACGTGTATGCCGCATGGACAAGTTCACTAGGCTCTTTCCCCTGTTAACCTCCGTCCATGCGTCCTCCTTCCAAGGCTCCGGGCACCGCCGCTTTCCGGTCACTCTCGGTGGCTCCGACATGTTAGAGCCAATAAGATGAGGAAAATTCAGCTTGGCTTTGGAGCCGCGCATCTTGAACGCGGCTTGATCATAAGCCAAAGCCGCGTCCTCAGCCGTCTCATAAGTCCCAAGCCACACTCTGGCGCCGCTCTTCTTCGGATCTCTAATCTCCGCAGCGTACTTCCCCCACGGCCTCCGCCTCACTCCTCTGTAGCCCCTCCCACTCGGCGGCGCGTGAACTCCACGCTCCGCTGCATCCGCATTGCAAACCTCCGCCACAGTGGCAGTGTTTGCTTGTTCGGACGAGAAAGATGGAGAGCTAATCTCACCGTCGCTGTTCTCCGTCATCCCGGAGCTAAAAATCAGGCGGCAAACCGGAGCGTCGCTGGCGAATGTGGCCGGAGTGGCAATGAGAGCATCGGATTCGTCATCAAGAAGGTAGCTCCGGATTGATTGTAGAAGAACTATGTCGGAGTAGTCAAAGGTAGTCTTGTTATCCATGCTTCAGAGGATAATTGCTGTAAGATGAGATGATGTTTCTGCTTCGCGAGCTATATATATATACATATAAATGTGTGTGTGTGTGTATATATATATGTATGTATGTATCTGTGTGTGTGTGTGATGGCCTTTGTTGCGTTACATAATTGAGTTAAAAAAGCCTGTTCATAATTTCCATGAAAGTTCGGATTTTGCATCACCATTCACGTGTTATATAATCGATGTATATAAAATAGTATGGAAATTAATTAAGAATGGGATTTTTCCAGATGGGTTTTGTTATTTTATGAGGGGATTTGCCCAATTTGTTGCTTTGGGTATTTGAATAATAGGGGGGGGGGGGGCGCGGGGGTTTACTTTATTGGTGTCTTGGTTGGAAGATGCTCCATTCCGATATGTCCTCCTTTTTCCACGTGGAGTCAATAATGTTATGTTCATACTACCTTAAATTATAATTTTTCTGTTGGGTCTTGGATTCTAATAAGATGTTTTGAATACTTAACGACTCTGGACATTGGTTTATCATGTTTAGGCATCATCTTTTTCTTGTTTGAACAAGTGAATAAGTATTCTTTGAATCTTAAATTTAAGAAATAGTTAGTAATTTTAAATATCAGACCTTAATATATTCTTTTCATATTTAATTATTATTTTTTTCAAACTAGTTTATTTAACTTATAAATTCACATATAATATGATATTATACTATAGGAACATTTTAGAGAGATCCGGTCACATATGCTAGAATTTAGTAATTTATTTAATTTTCTTAAATTACTTAAATTAATTAACTTCCTCTTAAATTAAGGATCAGGGGAATATTTTATATTTTTAAAATCGAAATATCCACTCAAATGTCCGAATATAATTAAGTTGAGAAAATTGGTGAATAGTTGCTCTTTAACAAGTTTATTCACCATAGAAACCTAAATACGATAGTACCGATATTTCCTATATATAAAATCTTGTAGAGTATATATCATGAAGTATTTTTAATGAATAAAATTTCTAAATATGAACTTTTAATTGATTTTCCCTTATAAGTTTAATTGTGAAGGAATGAAATTGTTGGTACAGTTGTTGCCACGCCCGAACACGCTGGGAAAATTCTAAGTGAAATGGAGAATGATGTAACGAACTTGATTCTTAGTGAAACTGAATGTGAAGTGGAGAGTGATCAAGTAGTAAGGACTGCACTATATATGTTTGATCAATCTCACTGCTAATGAATCTAAGATGTTTGTTATCAACAGATGGGGTTTTGGTGATGTTATTAATTATGTAGAAAGCCTTGTTTCAGTTGAAAAGAAGAAGAGGAAGAAAAGAAAGAAAGCCTTGTCCTAAATACCCCTGGGATAGGCTTGGCGCAATGGGCAAGTCCCTTACAAAGTGGCGTGGTTCAAATTTTTGCAGGAAGAGATACTTATATTTAGTGTCTCATGATGTTTCAAAAGGATTGCCTCTAAAAATGCCTCATCCTAAATCTTGATTATTGCATATTTACTTGTGTTTAAACACTTTCTTTTTCGCTAGAAATTTATCTTTGACGGGCTAGATAATTTGACTGTGCATATAAATACTTGCTGCCCTTTTGATATGTTATCCAGAATGATAATGTATATATGCACTATCATTAATTTCTAGCTCTATATGACTGGTTTTTGACTTTTATTTCAAAGTCGGATTTATAATTTAGTTTTTGGTACTTGCATTGGATATACTAATAGTTATACATAAAGCAAGTTTAGGTTTCTTACCTCTTCATTGCATTTATGATAGAGAAATGAATTAAATATCCTCTAGACCTATTTATAGGACCAAAAAAAAGATAATTTTTTTTGTTCCATTTATAGGGGGCTTAGAGAAATTTTTTATATGGATGTACAATTTTATCCTTCATTTATTATTGTGTTGACTTTTTTTATATGAGGTATAATGTATATTAAATAGGACAATGTTAGAAAGTTAATAAAGTGTAGGGTTTTTCTTGGTCTATATGAAACGTATTAGAAGTAATTTATAGATGCGATCAGAGGAGTGCATTGGTTTATTTGAAGAAATCATGATTTTAAAAATGATTTTATGATATACAAGATAAGTATATGAGAACAATTTTACTTCAATTTGTATGAAAGTACTTTTTAAAAGTACTTCTGGGCTATTCACTACTAGAAAAAAGACCTTTAACGTCGCAAACTAACGGCGGTTCAGCAGAAAAACGAAGTGGAAAAAAACGCGGTGGCATTTTTGTAAATAAGTTGAAAGGGTTATGACTTTCCACGGCGGTTCTTTAAAGAACCGCCGTGGAAAGTATTTTTAACGGCGGTTCTTTAAAGAACCGCCGTTAAAAACCCTTTCCACGGCGTTTTCAATAAAACCGCCGTGGAAAGTGTGTTCTTCTTACCCCCTTCGGCCGCTCGACTCCTCACTTTCTTTCTCATTTCTTCAGTGCGCCGTGGTCCCCCTCTGCCCTACCACCGTAAAACTGCCATTACCGGCCATTCCCGCCTCTAGCCCACCGTTTAAACTCCTCCATTGAGCCCTTGGAGCCTTGCCGCCGTGCGCTGCACTCCGCCGTGGTCGACCGCGCCTCCCATTTCCGTCGGTTCTTGCTCAGCCATGGTCCACCACCGAAAATCGGTCCTACCCTCCACTATCTAACCGAAGACCGGTGCGTTGCCGCCGTCCGCCGCCGCCTCACTTCGCGTTTGAAGCTTCTCTGCTCTGTGAGTATCCTCTTCTTTCATTTTTTTCAATTTTTGTTGGTTTGTTGAATGTTTTAACCATGAAAATCTGTTATATATGAAATGGGTTGTTAGTTTTACATTGTGGTTAGCTTCTATTGTTCATTTTGTATTTTTATGTGGTTGAACCGTTGATTGGTGTTAATTGGTAGGCATTAGATGTGAGAAAACCTTAATTCCTTTTTACATACTGTATTAGAAATATGTTAAAATGTTTGGAGTTGATTAGTTGTGAAGTTTTTAAATTTTTTTATAATTTTTTGATATTTATTTCGAATTTTTGATAATTTTTTGTAATAAATATAAGAATTTAGTGATAAATAATCTGTTAGTTATTTTGTGTTTTTTTCCTTCGTTATGAATTTTGATTGATAGTAAAGTATTGTTTAAATAATCTGTAGAACAATGGATCGTAGTTGGATGAAAGCTAGGAGAATTAGCAAGGAATATGAGGATGGGGTTGAAAAATTTCTTGAGTTTGCTCAGAGAAATGCCCCTAGTAAAGGAGATGGATTGTACTATTGTCCTTGTGTCAAATGTTTAAACAATAGTCGACGGAGTATTTCTGAGATAAAAGAGCATCTTATCTGTGATGGGATAAATTTGAGGTATACAAATTGGATATGGCATGGAGAAATTAGAAAGACTACACTGTCTGCAAATGAGAAGGTTGTGAATGAAGACTTTGGTGATAGAATTTCGGATATGTTTCGTGATATAAGGTCTGAATCCTCTACACAGTTTTCTTCCACCTTTGAAACTTTGTGTAGTGATGCAGAGACACCTTTATCCTCTACATAGTTTTCTACTCGACCTAAAGCAGTTGAATTAGATTTGGTAGATGATGACTATGCTATTAGAGATGATCATTGTGAAGGAATTTGGGAGGATAATCGTTGTAAGCCTCAAATGAATTTTTTGATATTTTTTTTGCTAAATATACTTAATAATATAGTGTTTTATATTAACTTGATATTTTTTATTCTTACATTTATTAATTCCTTGTTCTTTAAACAGGAAATGGACGGATCCGGTCAACAGGGTTCTGGTGATGACAACTCTTTTACTAGCCGGAGAAAGGGTAGAGGGCCAACCCATATGAGGCATTTAGCTTTACGTGATGAGAGCACACAGCCTATGAGAATTACAGTGGAGTTTGATGATGATCTGAAGCCTATAGGAAAGGATGGGGCTCAATTTACTAGTTATGTGGGTTATCTCGCACGCAGTAAAATTAGCATTGACATTCCTAACTGGAAGAAGGTGGACAAAGATTTGAAGAAAAACCTTTGGGAGGATATATTGGTATATTGTGCATTTTTTTCTCTACTTGTTTCAATTATAGTTGTTTATTTACTTTATAACTCTATGCTATTATTGTATTGCATGCAGCTGACATTTGATATTCCTGCCACTAAACAAATGAGAGACCGTCTGTTGAAGCAAATTGCTGAACGGTGGAGGGATTTTAAGTCCATGCTTACAACACATTATATTAATGGAAAAAGAAAGGGTGTGCATCCTAAGGAACGATACCAGTTTATTAGCGATGAGGCATGGGAGAATTTTGTGAAGCAACATGAAGACCCCGCATTTCAGGTTTGGTTTCTTCAAACTTAATTTTTAATCAGGTCATATTTTATTTAACTAAACTAATTTTGTCGATTTGGTTTCATTGTCATAGGCATTGAGTCAGAAGAACAAACAAATATCTGAGCAGAATGTATACTCACATACCATGTCTCGTGCAGGGTATGGTGGGTTGGAAAGAAGTATGATGGAGGAACGACTGAAGAATGCACAGATGGCTGCTGCTTCAGATCCTACTGGCTACATGCCATCTATTGAGCGTCCTTCTCGCCAAGAAAAATGGAAGGCGGCGAGGATTAAAAAGGGTCAATACATTACTCCACAGTCTGCTGCTGTTGCTGAGAGGATTGTAAGTAATATTTAAGAATTATGCTTCATTAATTGTTTTTTTCAATTATCTTAAATTGAATTTGTTGTTTTAATGATATAGGATACACTTGAGGAGCAACTATCTCAAGGTACATTCATCCCTCAAGGACGGATGGATATCTTGGCCACTGCTATTAGAAAGGCTGACCATCCCGGAAGAGTCCGAGGGGCCCCTAAAGGGATTGGTATTAAAGAATTTTTTGGCTCTGCTTCACGAAGAAGCACCTGATCATCCTCCACTAACATGGTATCTAAAGAGGAGCTCGACCAACGACTACAAGAAGAAACAGAGAGAGT